GGTTTAGGGTTTCGGGTTGGGTTTAGGGTTTAGGGCGGAGCTTGTCATTGAGGAAAACTAGAACCCTGAATTTCTGGGAGGATCTAGAAAGCAGATCCCTTAGTCGGGGCTCCTAGAAGATACCCTTTCGCAGCACAGGTTCCCAAATTGGGGGTTTATTCACTTTCTAGACCCTAAACCCCCTAAGCCCCTAAACCCCTAAACCCTGATAGCTAAACCCCCAAAGTCCTAGCACCCTAAACCCCTAAACCCCTAAGCACCAAACCCGAACCCTAAACCCCGAAACCCGAAACCCTAAACCCCTAAACCCCTTCAAGGAACCCTTAGAGATCCCCCGTTAAGGAGCCCCCTAAAGGCGTCGACCTCGCCCGGCTTCGTCAACTCACAGTTGCCGCCACCGGCCGCTGCAAGATCCACGATGACCTTTCCGAAGGGCTTTTGGGGTTTCGGGCTTAGGGCTTTTAGGTTTCCTCAAAGGGGTTTGGAGTTCAGGGTTTAGGGCTTTTGGTGTTTATGGTTTAGGGCTTCTTGTGGTTTTTAGGAGTTAGGCTTTAGGACTCTTGGGGTTTGGGGTTTAGGGGTTAGGGCTTTAAGGGTTTAGGGGCTTGGGATATAGGGTTTAGGGTTTTTAAGGTAAAGATGTCGTCTGAGTAAAGTTTTTACTTACAAGCTTGCTGAGAACTTTCCAATGTAAGGGCTTGTAGCATTCCTCGAAGGTGTAAGGCATTTAAGCTACGGCAGAACACACCTCTGCCTGAGCTCGTAGGAACTCCTGCGCGCCTTTTTTTTGTTTACTCCTGCCCGCGCCCATCGTCGAGCCACCGGGCTGCAGGGCATCTCCCCAGGCAGATTCGTCTTGAACACCTCTGTGGATTGGGAAACACGAGGTCGATGGCCCAAGATAGACGGCAAGGACGACGGCAGCGGTGCAGCGGGTGAAGGCATCTCCTTTGCCGAACAGTCTGCCCAGGGCTCCGGCATCGCAGTGTAACTTTCAGGGATAACAGGGGCTACAGCGTGGGATGGCCCGGCAAGATTTGTGCCGGTGATGAAATCAAAAGCCTGCATTGTAGAACGACATACCCCAAACATCCACTGCGCACGGGCGATCATAGGCTGATTCGAAAGCTCATCCCCACAGCTGCAGCGGAAAGTCTGGTAGTTGAGAGTCTCAATGCAGCTAACACATACAGCTTGCGAGCATTTCCTTGGTCCCTGTTAGGCGGGAAAGGAAAAAGGAACCTCATGACGAGCGCCCACTTAAATCACTAGGAAACCCGAGCCAAAAAACACACACCGTATGCCTAACATTGACCAAGCTTCGGGCAGTGATGATCGAAGAAGGATCCGAGTGCCTGCTGGCAGCGGCTGCAGGACTCCTAGGTGCCGCAAAAACCCCTCAGTAACAATGCACCCTTTCTCCTATGATATACTCGAGACACCCCACGATTGAAAAAAGGCAAAGTCATACTGCAGGAGGACGTAGCTTCTGGCACTGCGTCGGGGCAACAGCTGTTGAAGAGCCCGCACCATTGGGACGGGCAATGTTCACCGAAGTTGTTGCGGGCTTGACTTCGGTCCTCGGAGAAGTGCCTCCAATTTGGATGAGTCGGGAACTTCTTTGGGCTCAAAACTTCTGTCAAAGCTTCTCTGCCATCGTACTCAGGCAACGGCGCCTCGAAAGTCTGGTAATCGCATACGGTTGATGCAGGAGAGGATGGTGCCTCTCTGCCGAAGATATACGTGGTTGACGCTGGCGAGTCAGGCGCGTCTGTGGCGTAGAAATAATGGGTTGATGCAGGCGAGACAGGCGCCTGTCTGCCATAGCAATACTCCGTCGCTGCCGGCGAGACAGGCGCCTGTCTGCCGTAGCTTACCGTTGACGCAGGGGAAAAAGGTGGCTCCCTCGCGCAATACTCGGACAAAGTGAAGGACATTGGAATGCCAGGCATCGATCCATAGCCGCGGAGGTTTTCATCCAATAGTGGCGTGGCGAGGCGTAGGTCCGGCATCTGGTCTCGTGCTTCTTTGGGAGCATCACCTGCCAAGGTGGCATCAGGTTCCTTGGGCAGAGGTGGAAAGAACATTGCGAAAGCTGAAGAGCTGGCATCAAAGACCTCGCTGGTCTTTACAGTGCAGAGCTCTTTCATCTGACACCAAGCTGTGTAAACTGAGCTCGCTCTGCCAAGATGCGAAGCTCCGGGATCTTTGGCAACAAGAGCGGATTCCCGGTGCCAGTCCCAGGATGTCGCAGCACCAGCCGGGCCACACGGGCCAAGAGGAGTAGGCATCTGAGTAGCAAGCAAAGAAGCGGCGTTAGGCTACCTCGGAGCCAAGCTTGAGCTGCGGTCAGTCTAGGCGTTGCAGCTGGGAAAGTAGCTCAACTCCTTCTCTGCATACCACCTATGTAAACCCTACACATCGCTAGCCTGACCAGCCACTACTCCAGCGTCACCCAAGCTTGGGGCTGCGGGTATTATCCGGGCCGGAGCGGCTCAAGACTGTTCCTTACAGTTCCCAAATACAACTCTATATACTCCATATAGCTAGTTCTCTAAACTAGGGTCCATTTTTTGGGTCACCAATGTAGTACGGCACCCTCATGAAAAGGACCCTAAAATAAAAGGCACCCTAATTTAGAGAACTACCCATATACTATATAATATACTGTACGATGCAACACACCCCGACACCAGCAGGTCTGGCACAACACGAAAACATCCGATATGCACCTATAGACCCAATTCAGTACCCTGAGACCCTAAACCCTTAAACCCTTAAACCTAAACCGGAGATCCAAATGCCAGTCGCAAGATGACGGCTTCTGCAAAGCTCCAATGCCGATGCGAGTAGCGGGCAGGGGGAGGCTTTACGGACGCTTGGGGTGCATCATACCGAAGGTTAAGACGTGGCTCACTAGTCACAGAGCTTACTAGCCTACGCACACAAACAC